ACAGCAATAACACTATGTCCTATGTGACTATCATACTTTCATCATCCGTGATCCAAATGTGTGTAAATAAGTAATTTGCTTACTCTATAACGTAAACATGTTTATAAATATCTTCAAAATCTGAAATGTTTGTATAATCATGAGATTGAGAAACTATTACTGAAATCAAACTATGTTTATAATAATTATATTTACCTGAATTATAAATGGAATGCATTATATGAATCATATCTATCTCTGTCAGTTTTATCTTGTATGAGTAAAATGGTACATTTATTTCAGGATATGATGTATTAAAATTAATAATAGTCAAATATGTACAACATTTCGCACACCGACTAAATTGACTATATGTTTGCAGATCTTTAATAGTCTGAAATTGACGGTGAAATCCCTTTAAATGGATTTGACAATTATTGTTTTCATTGTCAATTCGCAAACAAGACAAGGAACAATAGTGTATCGGTACTGATCTCAGGTTTATACTTAAATAAATTTCTTTAAGTATAAAATTAGAATTATTTAACTTGAATAACTCTAATATTTCCTGTTCATCATATGCAAATGAATATGCCATACATCGGACCGTTTCATATGAAATAATTGGTTTCTGAACATTCGGATGATCTACATCATTTGGAATAGTCATCCTTCTAATTTTTTAAAAAAAATATTTAGATTAAATCAGCTAGCATTGGCTATAATAATTTATTGTTGACTAAAATGGTTATATTATTTTATAAATTGTAAATATCAAGTTAATTTTTAAAAAATATATATTATTTATACTATAATTATTATGCTAATATATATATAATATATTAAAAAAAAATTAGAGTTATAAGACCTTATCACGTACCTATACGCTTATGTTACAATATAAATATTTTATTCTATATTTTCTAACTGTCTATACAAGCTGTTTAAATTATCACGTATATTAAGTTCACATCGGTACCCTACATGTTGTGAGTGTTAAAATTCATTTGTTAGTTGTTCTTTTTGTTTTAGCAGTCTTTTAATTTGTTGATTAATTAATCTAATTTTTTCTTTATATGTTTCTTCTTCTTCTAATTCATTGTTATAATTGACTTCCCTCTGTTCGTAAATGACTTCTATTTGACGTTTAATTGATGCAGATGATTCCATTTTATTGTTAGATATTTTACTTTTTTGAAACTGTAAAATAGTACACACTTACTTATATTTACAAATAATTAAATTAATTTATAATAATATAAATCTATATAAAATATATTGAACATCTATTCAATGTATTTAGGTTTTAAGCAATTCTAAGTATTATTCCAGATATTATAATTATAAGTTATGTCATAATATTATAATATAAATACTATAAGATTGGTACAGAATATAAGCATAGATACTATCAACAAATTAAAATAAATTATGGTTATACATCATCTATAAATATTAGCTTGTGATTATTATGCTAAGTTTACAAATTAATAAATAAAACATTTTTTAGAATGGTTGGTATATTAATTATAAATAGTACAATTAAAAAAAATTGAAAAATAATGTAAACAAAAAAACTTTTAGTTTAGAATGTTTATTTATTTACATGCGACTATCATCTAACTATTTTTTAAACATGAACATAATAATATATACAATACTACATATAATATAATCTAATTTTGATTTCAACAGATTGTACTCAACTGCTGTAGCTGATCATTAAGATTTTCTAACTGCATATTAAAATTATTTACACATTTCCAATAATCGGTACAGGTAGAGCGATAAAATGTAATGATCTTTTCTTTTTCTTCATTTTAAAAAATCAATTTTTCTTTTAAATAAATTAATACATTCAGAACATATTTACAAGACTTTAAAAAATAAAAAAGCAGTTTTGAGTCAAAAATTAATGATTAATAAACAAATGATTGATAAACTATTAACCACTGTTCATATAATTGTATTGAGCATATAATTTAGATAATCCTTTTTGAATATTTTTTTCATTTTTCTTAGCGATATATAACGAATGTAAATAGCCATTTATAATCTTCTTTTTTTTCATTCATTAATTTTTTTGGATTTAAAACCGCTTTTTTTATTTTTATATCAATATTTTTTTTTATTTTTTTTTTTCAAATTCTACTCCTTTTTCATCCATTGCTCGGTGATTATTCTCGGCCTCTCGAATAACATCGTTAATTTTATCCATAATAAATGATTTTGATTCCATTTTTTTAATAAAAAAATAAAATAGCATATATTGACAGTAGTAAATAATACTAATAATAATAATAGACTAGTTTATGTATTGGAATATAAGCATAAATACTATCAACAAATTAAAATAAATTATGATTATACATCATCTATAAATATTAGCTTATGATTATTATGCTAAGTTTACAAAATTAATAAATAAAACATTTTTTAGAATGGTTGGTATATTAATTATAAATAGTACAATTAACAAAAAAAAATTGAAAAAATAATGTAAACAAAAAAACTTTTAGTTTAGAATGTTTATTTATTTACATGTGACTATCATCTAACTATTTTTTTAACATAAACATAATAATATATACAATACTACATATAATATAGGTAATCTAATTTTGATTTCAACAGATTGTACTCAACTGTTGTAGCTGATCATTAAGATTTTCTAACTGCATATTAAAATTATTTACACATAACCAATAGTCGGTACAGCTAGAGCGATAAAATGTAATGATCTTTTCTTTTTCTTCTTTTAAAAAAAGCAATTTTTCTTTTAATATAAATTTTTGTTCGTTAACATTGAGAGAAGAAGAAGCACTTGTTCTAATTAAAAACAATTGGTATTTATATTTTACAATTTTTTTATTTGTTTAAGTCTGAATCTTCTAGTGATATGGTCTTTTTTATCTGATTCTGTATAACTTTCAATCAATTTTTTATAATAGTCTATTTCGTTTAAAATATTATTGTGAGAATTCATCATTTGAAAACGTTTTTTGTGTAAATATATTAGAACTAATATAAATTATAAAAATATAGAAAGATGTTTAAAAAAAATCTGATAATTAAAATGATTTATATCAACCAGCATTGTGTATATTTAATGCTAGCTAAGATGGTTGTATTTGATATATATAATAAGCAAGTTTGTATATTATGCTATTCTATAATTATAATCATATACATACTGTATAAACTTGTTTTTTTTAACTTAATAACTTTTTAACCATTTATAATATACATTATAATAAATATAGATATTTTAATCAGTCAACTTCCTAAATTTAAAAAAACATTTTAATAAAATAAATAAATTATAAATACTTTGTACATTTAATATTGATATTTCTGATAAAACTATTGAATATCGATCCGTTATAATCACTTACCTAAACGTTTATGCTATGTTATGTTTTTTTACTATCATGTATTATTTTTTCGTTTTTAAAAACTAGTAAAGATGTAAAGAGTTTTAGATGGTTTTTAAAAAAAAATATATATAAATAATGAAATAGGTAGATGCTTACGTAGATAGCTGTTCGGTTAAAGTATTTTCCAATGTTAATGATGCCGGTACTGGACTGGAAAAATATGCAGGATTGAAGTATTTTCAATATTCGATGGTAAATTCCTGTTGATGATGTCGATGGTAGACTGTTATACTTTATAGGATTGAAGTATTTTCAATGTTCGATGGCGAATGTCTGTTCCTTGCTGTTGCTGGTGGAGAACACAAGCTGAACTGATATCGTTTGAGTGGCAAATTCTGGGTTATATAGTCGAGAATCATCTCCTACTTTTCTAGTTGTCGTTTAAAACTCACATTAGGTATATTCAAAGAAATCGAAAAACGTGTTAATATAATATTAATTTAAAAAACAACTAAGTTATTTTGTAGTAATAGTAATTATAATATATAATGTATGTATTGGTGTTGACCGTCGTCGTCCGGGATATTCATTTAAAAATAGCAAGGTTAAATTTTGGGGTGTTGGCGGAATAAAAACTAGTATTAATAGGAGGTCATATTATGACCGTTGGTGGAATAAAACTTATATTAATAAGAGGTCGAATTAAGGGCGTTGGCCGGTTTAATATATCCGATAGCATTGCTTTGAATATTTCACATTTCAAAGTTACTATGGTAGTGGAAACATTACAGTATATAAGGCTAGCGTATCGACAGCAATATTACAGTCAACACCCAACAACTGGAACTTCGCAGTCAACATTCAGCAACTAGAACTTCTTCGTCTCCTTCATCAATTCAGCATTCAATAATATTCAACGATGTCTTACAGAACTTCGATTGTCGTTTCTGGATCAGAGGTTAGTAAATGAATTACTTTAATAACTAAAGCAAATTGTAGGCTAGTCGTTAAAATACTCAACGCTATGGTTATAATTCCATGTGTTATATATGTTATAATCATAATATTATGTTATACGCAGGGTAGGGTGTCAGCACTGCATTAGTCATAAGAGGGCGACCAGTGGTGACGACGGGCAGTCAGTCAGTGCTGTGCGATAGTGCCCATGTGAGTGGTTCAGTGTCGGATGCTGACACTTGTGCCAATGCGTATAATAAACTGAATCTGAGTTATGTATCGTTTGTGTAATAAAGTTTTCGTGAAACAATAAAGTGAATCTGTGTAATTAAATTTATGAGTTGCGAATTTTATGAGTACTTAGTTAACAATTCAGAAGTGGGATTTATTGCTACCTAACGGGGAAAGTGCGACCTCGTCCGTAGCAAACGCCGAAAACGGTTGCGGTACCGTCGTGAGTGCGATTCGTTAACGCGTTAACTCTTGTGTGTAAGTTTCGTTCGTTTTGAATTATTTTCTTTATTGTAAGAAGAACGTGGTTTGTACGACATTTTTTTTTAAGTTCGAACATAACCTCAAATATTTGTTGTGACGTTAACGATAAACGTGATCGTTGTGTACCTTGGTAACTGCGGTTTCCGTTATCTCTTATCACCTTATCATAGAGGAGGTAAACAAACAAGAGATATGGGAAATGAAACCGGTGCAAATTCGAACAGTTCGCCTGTACAGGGTGATATAGCTGACTTGGTGCGCGCAATGCTCGAACAGAACAGACTGCGTGAGCAGCAGATGGAGCAAATAATAACCAAATTAATGGACAACCAGAAAACGACGACACCGATGATGCTACCTAATCTGACGAAAACGATCCCAATGTTTAATGGCGAAACAGGTGATACTGATGCGGCTGCGGAGTGGTTGAATGCGTTGAAAACCGCCGCGCAATTAAACGGTTGGCCTGATGAGAGTACGTTGGAAGCGAGACGCTCTTATTTAGAGGGAGCAGCGAGGAACTGGTATCTCAGTCACATGGTTGAACTAAACACTTTTGCTAAATTCTCTAAATCGTTCAAAGCTATGTTTATGGCACCAGAAGAAGTAACAGAAACATGGAAGAGAATGTACGAGCGTGTACAACAAAAGAATGAAACGGTTTTCGCTTATTTCCACGACAAAGTGCGGATGTGTCGCCGGTTGAAATTATCCATGAGTGAAACCAAGAAAATGATTTGCGTCGGGTTACATTCTCGAGATATGTTAAGTGCATTAATGAGTAATGGACATGTACGTGAAGAGGAGTTGATGGCTGACATTCGTGAATACAACGAGGTGAGTTTAATACGTGGTGAACGTTTCCGTAGTACGTCGACACCGAGTAGACAATTACTCGCCGCGAAAAGTACAAGTGTACCGAAGGTCGGTACGGATAAACAGAATACAATTACAAGTAGTCGAATTAAGAAAGAGTTGCGTAAAACTTATGATGGACCTCGTTGTTACAATTGTCAACTGACCGGACATGTTGCAAGGGATTGTACGCAACCACGACGACCACTTAAATGCACTAAGTGTAAATTGGAAGGACATACATCTAAATATTGTGAAGTAGCCAATACGCCGGATGTGAGTCTAGTGAGTTGTCAAACTAAAAGTAAATTCATGTATTACATTAAAGAAGTGCGTATCAACGACAACAAGAAAACCGTCCGAGGTCTAGTCGATACCGGTAGTGCTTTCACTATTATAACAAAGACTATTGCAAAGTCCTATGGTCTTGAGGTGCGACCTAAAACGGTAAACATGTACGTCTACGGAAATGCTCAGTCAATAGCAAGTTATGGTGAAACACAAGCGACCATCAATATTGATGAAGTGAGTGAGCTCATCACACTGGTGGTAGTAGACGACCAAATCCAACAATACGATATAATAATTGGGCGTTCCTTTACTGACTGTGAAAATGTCACATTTATTAAAACAACGGATCAATTACAGTTTGCCTACTGTATGATGATGCCATATCAGGAGGGAGGTGTTCCATATGAGTCCACTAGTAAACAAATAGTGCGAGTGGTTGGCGAAAACGAAAACATACCGGCCAATAGTATGAAGATGATAAAGGTAAATGCAGGTGACCATGATGTAGAGGTAATGCTCATCAATGAGGAAGATACTGCGATAAGGCTGAACAGGGATCAATCGGTAGGAGTTATCCGAGGTGGTCGGAAGTCTACTGAAAACAACCATGATGTAAAGACACCCATAACTACGGAGATGGTGAAGTATGGTTCGACACTTTCCAGTGACGAAGTAGACAGATTAGTGCATTTACTAAATCGATACCGTGAGTGTTTCGCATTTAATTTAAATGAGCTCGGGTGTACCGATGTTCTAGCGATGAATATTGTGGATGATGGTAAACCGGTGATGAGCAAACCATACCGAGCCAGCGCATCTGAACGAGAAACAATTAGTCGCATAGTACAGGAGTGGAAGGAGGCGGGCATTGTCACTGAAACAAAATCAGCTTATGCGTCACCAGTACTATTAGTTACAAAAAAAGATGTCGACGCAAGACTTGTGGTTGACTATAGAAAGTTGAATGCTCAAACGGTGAGAAAAGTTTTTCCTACTCCTAATATAGACGAGCACCTGGAAACACTACATGGAGCAACGTTGTTTACGACTCTTGATCTTGCCTCCGGTTACCTACAGGTACCTCTAACTGAAACGTCTAAAGAGAAAACTGCGTTTATCACACCGAGTGAGTCGGGTCAATTCGAGCGAATGGTTTTCGGTCTCATCAACGCACCCTATGAATTTTCGAAGTTGATGCAACGGATATTACAACCATTGAAAAACAAAGTCGCTATGTGGTACTTGGACGATATTTTGGTACCATCAACATCGTTCCAGGACTTGATAAATCGGTTGAGTCAAGTATTCGATGCACTTAGAGAAGCAAAACTGACTCTCAAGTTGAGTAAATGTCATTTTGGATGCACTGAAGTAGCATATTTAGGATTTATGTTGTCAGCAGCTGGAGTGAGGCCTGGTGATCAAAAGGCCATAGCCATACAACAATATCCAAAACCTAAAAACAAACATGAAGTGAGACGATTTCTTGGTTTATTTGGGTTTTTCAGAAGGTTCATTCCACGTTATGCGGAGATAGCCCGACCAATAAGCGACTTACTTCGGGATAATGAGCAATTTGTGTGGACAGAGACTCAGGAGGAAGCGTACAACAATCTGAAGGACAGGTTGGTCAGTAAACCAGTGCTCCAAGTCTTCAACCCTAATGCGGATACTGAATTACACTGTGACGCTAGCAGTGTGGGTCTGAGTGGCATGTTGCTTCAACGAGGTGAAGGTAAGAGGTTACACTTGTTGCATGCTGTATCAAAAAAGACTACCTCAGCTGAACGACATTACCACTCGAGCAAGCAGGAGCTAATGGCAGTGGTCTGGAGTATGTGTAGATTGCGACCTTATTTAATTGGGATTAAATTTTTAGTTGTTACAGATTGTCAGGCAATTGTACATCTTAATACCCAAAAGACTCTGAACCCCCAAGCAGCGCGTTGGGCAACGCTTCTAAGTGAGTATAATTTTGATATAAAGCATCGTCCATAGTCCATCGTCCATCGTCATCGTCGTAGGATGGATCATATTGATGCCTTGAGTCGTGCGCCGACAAGCATGTCACAGGACACTGAAACTGAATTATTGGACGAGCACATGAAAGTGTTTATTGCTATGACCGAGGAGGATCAGGTGATAGCAATGCAGCAGGCAGATGTGAAACTGAAAGCAATCATGAGTATCCTTAGTCAAGAAGAATCAGAACATACAACAACCGAAGCTGAAAGAGTGAAAGATTACCAACTTCACCATGGTATGTTATATAGGAAGGTGACGGTGGACAACAACGAAACAAGGTTATTATGGGTAGTACCTGAGTCAATGCGAAAGAGTATAGTGGTAAGGTTCCATGACTTGGCGGGTCATTTCGCAGTGGACCGGACAGTCAGTAAGATAAAAGAAAAGTACTACTTCCCAATGATGCGCAGATACGTGAAGATGCACATTAATTGCTGTCCTGAGTGCATACTAATTAAAACCCCCCGAGGAAGACAGCCTGGTGAGCTTCACCCCATTACCCCAGGTAAACGACCGTTCGAGGTGATCAACGTTGATCATATTGGTCCATTTATGAAATCAACAAAAGGTAACAGTCATATTATAGTGTTGATTGACAATTTAACCAAATATGTGAAGAGCTGTGGCACAGAGGCGGTAGTGACTAACTTACAGTTATTTGTGAAGTCATTTGGGACGCCAAGGCGAATTATCAGCGACCGAGGGACGGCCTTCACGTCTAAGGCATTCGAAGCATTCTGTGTACAATATGGTATTCGCCATACGTTGAACTCAGTGAGACACCCACAATCCAATGGACAGGTGGAACGTGTCAACAGCACCCTAGTTCCGGTAATGCAGTCAACTATGGAGTCAGATCGGACCTGGGATAAATGTATAGCTGACATCGAGTGTCATTTGAATAATGCTTATAACAAAACAATCGGTGATACACCTTTTCATGTATTATACGGATACTATCCAAGTTTTAGGGACGGAGTGTTGCAGCATGTGACAACAAACGAGGTATGGGACTCTGTAGCAGAGATTCAAAACAAAATCTAGAGAATATCAGCAATGGAAGCAACGGTACGATTCTAAGCATGTCAAGCCAATACGTTATGAGGTTGGAGAAGTGGTATTCATACGCAGACCACCAGAAGCCACAGGGGAGTCAACAAAATTGCAGTTCAAATACCGTGGCCCACTGGTAGTTACTGAGGTACTACCTAATGATGTTTATCGAGTGGCAGGGCTACGCGTCGAAGCTGAAAAACGTTATGTGACTGTCGTTCACGTTTCACATATTAAGGGATATCATCTACCAGCAAATGAGGAACCAAACGAAGACTCAACAGTGATGGGGCATGGGGAAGGAGACATGAAGCATGAGGAAGAAGACAGACCACAAGATGTACCCAATACCGAAGAGATAGAAGTAAAGAAGTCAGAAGTAAAAGACAAATAATCCAAACGTGTAAAGAAAACACCAGCTTGGCATTCATCTTACCAGATGTAAAAAAAAAATAAATAAATAAATAAATAAATAAATATGAACTGTTTTAAAATGTTATTATGTGATATGTGCGATATAAGCACTAACTAATTCTTTTAATAAAATGTAAACTGTTAGGTATAATTAAATATTAAGGATGTAATTAAAATGTAAAGTGTTCACTTAAGCGAGGACACTTAAGGGTCAGGACGCCCGAATGTTATATATGTTATAATCATAATATTATGTTATACGCAGGGTAGGGTGTCAGCACTGCATTAGTCATAAGAGGGCGACCAGTGGTGACGACGGGCAGTCAGTCAGTGCTGTGCGATAGTGCCCATGTGAGTGGTTCAGTGTCGGATGCTGACGCTTGTGCCAATGCGTATAATAAACTGAATCTAAGTTATGTATCGTTTGTGTAATAAAGTTTTCGTGAAACAATAAAGTGAATCTGTGTAATTAAATCTATGAGTTGCGAATTTTATGAGTACTTAGTTAACACATGGTAATCCACTCATACATTTATGAAAAAAGCAATCTGTTAATATAGAAAATTTGATACTATAAGTTTTTTTTATAGTACGAATTTAACGGATCTGTAGACATGAAAATGAAACCTACCACTTCAAAGCAAACTAAAACAGCTCCCAAAAGAGGGGCTGAAAAAGTGATTGACAAGAGAAATAACAAAAAGATTAAACAGACAAAAACAGTAAGATAAATAATAATTTATAATCTTAATACTTTTATCTAATATTCTAAGGTGATGAATTATAGCATGAATTTATTTATTTATTTTTTTTTTTAGAGTTCATCTTACAGAGAAATCTTCGAGGAGAAATTGCGGACTGAAGATTTCGATGAAGAAATCATCAATTCGTTAACTTTCCGGCAGGGAGATGGTTTGGCTACCGTCAAAAGTCAGTTTAATCCAGAAGAGAAGGCAACCGACTACTGGACAATAACACACTATAAGTGTAAGAACATAAAGAAAGTTCCATCAAAGGAGAGGTAAATACTAGTCTTTGGTTTACTTTTTAATAAAAAAACTATTGCTTATAATAAAAAATAAATCAACTGTATCTATTCACTGATCACTGAATAATTAATTTATGTTACAGGTGGCGTCACTCTGAGGCATCTGTCAAGATAACGACTTCAGATAAATCGAAAGACCAGACTTTAAATACAAGTTTGAATGAGACCATGCAGGTCATCTTCGACGTGATTTTGAAGGATCCAGAACGTCGTACGATAAAAAGTAATTTAGCATTATGAGTGTAATATTCTAAAAAAATATTTTTTATTTAATAAATAAAACATTACATAAATATAAATGAATTTGTATTATATCACACTATTAAGTCCTGTAAAATCATTTCAGACATTGCGTTAAAATGAAATTGTAATATTTCGTACAAAAATGAAGTGTCGTCGTTTTGTAGATGAGAATAATAATTAAAATCATAGTTTTGTATATACTGGTTTGTGAATTCGTTCCTCTGGCAACTGATGGGCAAACCTCGTACATCGTTTTTAATCAGTTCATAAGCTGCATCAAATGTTGCTTGAAAACTCTGCAGACGTTTCTGTTTTTCTGCGATATAAAGGTCTCGGTGATTCTTACACGTCTACACCTGGTATGTAAGTTGTTAGTAATTGAAGTGTAATTAGATTCAGACATAAGCGTACACCATTGCTCTAAATTTAATGTAATAATTTTTTTCGTTAACTTGCACTCTAATAACACAATAATCGAAATTTGTTTGCTGATTAATAGGCCGACTGTAACACTCTTCTTACCAAATGGACATATGTCAAATACCGATTTTGATACAATTATCGGTAGACCCATAACGAATTAATGTTCTTTTTTTTAAATAATTAAAAAACCTTTCAAACTATAAACGTAATTATTTTTTTAAAATTGATATAAAGTTTTTTTTTTAAATATTTAAAAAAATCTTTCAAACTATAAACGTAATTATTTTTTTAAATTTGATATAATATAACCAATGAGAGATATCCTTTGAACTGAAAGCATTTTTAATTTGTGAGCGTATTATATACTAAACCTGATAGATAAAAAAAAAAAAAATGCAAAAATGTGAGCGTGCAGTATAGTCGACTACTGCATGCAGTGGAGGGGAGAATTACATATTATACTTACCTGATACCTGAAAACATTTAAATTAACACTACACGCAGTAATCCACTAGACCACACGCTCACGAGATATTACATCAAATAATAACGCATATAAGTTGTTTTAAAAAAATCAACATTTATTTTTATTTACTATAACATGATTAGTATACATTTAAATTATTTCTACACACACTAACCTCATTAGTCTATACGATCGTGAGATATTAAATCAAATATAAACACATATAATTTGTTTTTTTAAAAAAAATCAGCATTTAATTTTATTTAGTGTAACATATAATAAAAACATGATTAGTCAACAGTAAAAAAAAATCAACATTTTATTTTTATTTACTATAACATAATATAATAAAAACTTGATTAACAAACAGTATCGTATGATTCAGATTCACAACTGTGAATATGTTCGGTTTTACAGTATTTACTTAATACATTTTGAACATACTGATTACCCTTCATTAATAATACATATAAACATCTTGGACTGAATCTGCAATGTTCAATCCATGGGTCGTCCAGCCTTTCCCAGTTATGAAGAATAAGACCACAACAAAAGCATTCCACGACATCATCCACTCCTGAATATTTTAAGCCACATTCGGAAAATGTATATTTATTTTGAGAAGTATTTAACGGGAATAATTTGAATGTTTTAAATCTTGATGCAAACGATGAAAATTTTGGATGAACCATGGTCGGATTACTTCGTATACGATAAACTAATGATTCAAAATCATTCGGGCATTTTTGAAAATTCATTTTTGAAGAAATTAAATAACTTATACAATGTAATAAAACTTTGAGAAAATAAAGAAAAATGAGACACGACTTAAGTGAACGGCGGATCATTAGTAACTGAATATGAGAAAATGATCAGCTTATAACTAAAAATTGTATACATTTTTTTATAAAAATACCGACATTCATTAATTAGATCAATTGCAGTGCAACCAACATAAATGTAAATGCGAATATAGTAATTATTATTTCATTTTAATAATAAGGTTTGTTTGAGTGTGAAAACTCTTCATAATTTTTACACAGTAAAATTATTGTGTCCAAGGGGAACATCTTCCCTTGAACGGTGTGAAATTACCGTGTAAAAAGTGTGTAAATTCTTCATAATTTTTACACGGTAAAATTATTGTGTTCAAGCGGGACATCCTCGCTTGAACGTTGTGAAATTACCGTGGTGGCACAAAAAAAAAAGACTGTGAACATACAAACCTATACTACTGATTAACTAGCATAGAAACTATCGCGTTTTTTTCTATTATCGTGTGATCGCGGCTTCACTAGTAATTAAGAGTATGCTTCTATGTCATAA